CAAATAGTCCCACGTCAGATCAGTTCGTGACCTTGCGTAAACCATTACATGGATGTAGCATTGGTAGGGTAGAAATGATTGGCACAACCACCGTCATGTGAAATCTAGTAAAGAAATGACGCCTGGACAACATCAAGTCCACTCACCGACCTTCTATAAATAACTACTACTCCCTCCGTTCGAAATTACTTATCATAAAAATGGATAAAAATAGATGTATCTACAACTAAAATACATCTAGATACATTCATTTCTTGGACGAGTAATTCCGAACGGAGGGAGTACCTTGTATAGCAGAATCATGTTTAGTTGCTAGAGGGAGAAAGCACAACCAAGTGTGCGAGGACCGAGGAGGGCAACAATGATGAGAATGATGAGTGTCACCAGTCAGAGAGTGCAATTTTTCAGGGAATGAGATGCTTTGGGAATTTGGTTGGAACTTGGGGAATGAGATGCTTTGGCTGGAACTTGGCCGAACCGAACTGCTCACCTAATGGCTTCCAGTTTGCCCGGCTGGGATGGCCAGTATGTCAACCGTTGCAACATTCAGCTTTACTCTCATGACAGTTTTTTTCTGCGCAAATTACTCTCGTGACGGTGTTTCAGTTTAACATTCAGGAGGTGTTTGCTATAAAGCGAAAACGATACTTGCGTTTGTTTAATCAACGACGAAACATGTCCCTCCGTAAATGGGTCCAGCCCACTTATCGATCGATACCGCCCACCCTCCACCGGTAATCACGATACCGCTCCGTCCTCCTCTCCCTGAGCCCATTCGTCCCCGCACCGCCGCATAATCCCTTCTTCCTCCCCTCCCGAGCGCACTCCTCCTCAAGCACGGTCGACGGCGTTTGATTTCAGGGATGGCCGGCGGCATTTGAGATCCTGCTTGGCTGGGTTCGAGCAAGAGCAGGCCATCTACCATAAGGCAGCCGGCGAGCAGGAAGAACAGAGCAATGGTAATCTCAATTCGATCTGATTACGTTAACATTGCCATTACAATTTCTGTAGCCAAATACCTCAGCTTTACTCGCTTGACATTGTTTCAGTTATCAATTTCTGCAGCCACAATGGGAGCGTTAACAGAGCAAAATAAAAAAAACCAGTTCCGATCAGAATTTATTCACACTCAACAAGTACAAACATACAACTCACCCAACCTGAGCTTTCTTCCCTCATGTTTACAGCTAAAAGTCAATCAATGTAGAGCCATCTCACCAAAACACACAAGTCGACATACAGCCACAAGAAAAGAAAAACGTTCACTGTTATTTCAGTTCACGGTACAATCAGTGCCGGTCTTCAGATGGTGATGACGCTACACTTCTCCGGCGAGAAGTCGTGCTCCATCAGCGGGCCTGTCGACGACGAGACCAGGAACCCGTCCACCCTGGCCGCCATGTCCATGTCGATGGTCACCGTGCTCAGCCCCTTGCCGATCACGTAGATCTTCCTGCCGATGGCCACCAGCTCGCACGGCGGGCGCGTGAGCTTGTCCGACAGCCTGCCGACCATCACCCACTGCTTGGTCTCGTTCAGCCACACCATCAGCTTGGTGCCAAGGGACTGGTCGAGCATGTAGAGCATCCCGTCAACGACGACCGTCGGGCCGGACCAGCACAGGGCAATCTCGTTCTCCTTGCCCCTCCAGGACTGGTCGACCGGGTCGTATATACCCGCGAAATACATTCTGTTCCAGGACGCCTTGTGGATGGTCACCAGCTCATCATCCAGCGCCACGAATTTGACAATGTCCGGAGTGAGCATCGGGTTCTTGTGCGAGAACCAGGAGTCTGTGGCTTTGTCGTAGATGTCCCAAGAATTAGGTGACTTGTCGGTCAGTCCGAGTCCTCCAGTAACATAAATCTTGTCATTCAGAGCTGCAGATACAAAGAAGCACCTGAAATCAAAGCTGCAATGTGTGAATGAGCTGCCCAATTAAACCAAGATACTAGGCTACATATGCAACGGAGAAAACAAACAGAGAACAGCGGCTGAAGGAGTACTACCTAGCAGTAGGCATTGGTGGTGCTTTGCTCCAATGATTTGAAGCAGCGTCGTAACAGTACACTTCATCATTAGCATCCTTTAGCCAACTACAACCACCCATGAGAAATAACCTCCTGTCCAAGGTCTCTATGGAAACGCCTTCCCGCCCTGAGCATGGAGGTTCCATGACTTGGATGACTTTCAAGGACCGGGTCGTAGGGTCAGGAACAAGAACATAGCATTTGAAGCCTGTGCCCCTACAGATCACATATATCCAGGACTCGGCCAAATTGTTCCGCTTGCGGTAAGAGTGCCACTCTTCACTGCTTAACAAGGCCTTCCATCCCCTTGAGACACACCTGAGAGCATTGTGATACTGCCGAGGAACCCTTGCCAGGCAAAGAAGAGCAATCTCATCCGGAAGACCATGTAGAAGTGGAGTTTGGAGCTCAGCAGAGTCCATCTTCCTACAGAAGAGCTTCTGGTAATCACTACTTTCAAGGTGATGGTTCATCCTATTAACACAGAATGAAGCAGGTGAGAAAGGGACAGCTGTCCGAATTGAAGCCATAAAACATATAACCTTATGTAGACAAAATCATTTAAGTCAAATTTGATATCTGAAATTGCAAAAGCAAATGGAGTTGGACAAAGTGCCTGAAACACATTTGGTGGAATTCAACTCAATCAAGGATATGGACAAAACAAGTTACATGGACAACACAGAAATCAAGAGGTGGTGAGCTTGTCCAGAAACACACAATTTTCTGATGGCACTACTAACATAAAGAGAAACAGTCAACAAGTATTTATGATAACATGGTGATAATTGTTATCAAAAATATTATAATCACTGTTTCATTCTTAATAGGCACATTTGCTCAGAAAATTTGATCAGTTTAGGATTTATAATCAGGTAGGGTAACTTCTTAAAGAGCCACCTTTCTCAGATACCGTCCTTGTGATCTCATCACAGCAAACAAGCAGAAATAGAAGGAAACTAGAAGGAATTATCTGTTAACTTCTCTAATAGTGATTCTTAAATGGGTGGACAACACCACACTAAAACGGTGAATACAATGGATATCTTGTTTCTCAAGTAACAAAATGTTACTTTAAATAATCGTTTATGCGCATCATTGCTCAGAAAATTTGATCAGTTTGGGAGGAATAATCAAGGAAAGAGGACTTTATAAAGTACACCTTTCTCAGATACCGTCCTTTGATCTCATCACAGCAAATTAGCACAAAAACTGGGAAGCAAACCAGATACTCTAATGGCACTACTAACAAGCAAAATATATTGTCCTTTAAGCTGACACATGTGCAAATGACGAAAGGGTGTTGTGGTCTGAACTCCATTTGCTCAGAAAATTTCATCAGTTCAGAATGTATGTATAATCAATGAAGGAGCACTTTTTAAGAGACGCCTTTCTCAGATACCGTCCTTGTGATCACATCACAAAAAAGAAATATATTAGTTCTACAATTCAATTACAGCACTTTGATCAGATTATTTGATCAGTTTAGGATGCTTGATCACACATTGAAGAGCCAAAACATTGCAAGGATGACAGAGCAAACACCAAATGAGGGCAAGGCGAGCTATTATTTAATATGTGAAACATCAAAAAATCATGTAATTCTGCTCAAAATGAAAGAAGAGCATGTGGATTGCCATTGAATTCAGGTTTGCGCATGTTCGCTCAGATGATCAGTTTAGGATGGGTAATCAACGAAGGGGGACTTTCAAGAGCCACCCTTACTCAGATACCGTCCTTGTGATTCGTCACAGCAAACAAATAAGCAAACGCAGGTTACACAACCCATGAACCTAGCAAAGTACATGGATTTACATTTCAAGCAGGAAAAGATGCGCTTCAAAAGAAGAAAAGGTATTGTAAAGCGACACACTTTAGTCATTGTTGATCACTGTTCAATTCATGTTTTCAGATGCTTGCTCAGAATATATGATCAGTTTAGGATGCGTAATCAAGGAAGGTGGCCTTTTTCAAGAGCCAACTTACTCATATACCGTCCTTGTGATTCATCACAGCAAACATGCAAGCACACAATAGCTATGAAAACTATCATACTCCTGCTACCAGTAAACCGAGCAAAGTACATGGTTTACATTTCCATGCAAGAGAACAAAAAAGAAACATTGAAGGGTGTTTGCTCAGAAATTAAGATCAGTTTAGGGTGTATAATCAAGGAAGGTGGCCTTCTGCAAGAGCCAGCTTACTCATATACCGTCCTTGCGATTCATCATAGCAAACATGCAAGCACACAATAGCTATGAAAACTAGCCATACTCATGCTAGCAGTGAACCCGGCAAAGCACATGGTTTATATTTCAAATGCAAGAGACAAAAAAGAATCATGGATGGGTGTTTGCTCAGAAATTAAGATCAGTTTAGGATGTATAATCAAGGAAGGAGGACCTTTTCAACAGCCACCTTACTCAGATACCGTCCTTGTGGTTCATCACAGCAAACAAAAAAAAAAGCTAGTCACACTTATGCAACCGCCAATGAACCCAGTGAACTAGATGGTTTACATTTCAGACAAGAGAGGTAGCACAAGAAAAGAAACAAAAGACATTGTAAAGCAACCCAGTGAATCCAATGTTCAATTAAGATTTGAACATGTTTGCTCAGAATATATGATCAGTTTAGGGTGTATAATCAAGGAAGGGGGCCTTTTTCAAGAGCCAGCTTACTCAGATACCGTCCTTGTGTTTCATCACAGCAAACAAATAAGTTCACACAAGATGTCATCTAAGCACATGTATAGCATTTCAATGCAAATGAACAAAAAGAAAATGCAGTGATGGTACCATGGGAGTGCGTTTGCTCAGAAATTAAGATCAGTTTAGGGTGTGTAATCAAGCAAGGAGGCCCTTTTTCAAGAGCCGCCTTGCTCAGATACCGTCCTTGTGGTTCATCACAGCAAAGAACCATCGGGTTAACACAAGCTACCAGCAAAGCATATGTTTCACATTTCGACGCGAGAAAAACCAAAAACAAAAACCATGGAAGCATGTTTGCTCAGAGTTTATGATCAGTCCAGGGTGTGTAATCAAGGAAGGGGGCCATTTTTCAAGAGCCGCCTCACTCAGATACCGTCCTTGCGATTCATCACAGCAAACAAATTAATCCAGCACAAGATACAAGTGGAGTGCACGCTACACATTTCAATGCATGAGAACAAAGAAACAGTGAAGGAATGGTGTGCTTGCTCAGATATTAGTCTCAGATCGGGTGATAATCAGGCGGCAGGCGGACCCGTCGCTCATATACCGTCCTAGGGAATCGTCACGGCAGGCAGGCAAAACAATCGACGGGCAGATGAACTAGGTCCAACCCTGTAATGCATAGCGATCACTGCAAAGTAGTAGTACTACTACTTCACGTCAGGCAGGCCCAGATCGGGCGAACCGCGTCGACGAACGCACGAACGATCAGACCCTAGAAGCGAAGCACAGTACCGCGCGATCTAATCCAATCAACGAAGGAACCCGAGGCAAAGCACAATGGTAGGCGGACTAAGACTGGACTAGCATCGGAGGGGGGGAACCAATCGCACCTTGTGAAGGTGCGTGCGTGCCCATCGGATCTGAGGGGACTCGGGGTTGGGGAGGGAGGGGTCGGGGCACTACCGGCGGCGGGAGGTGCGGGGAGGCCGGGAGCACCTAGATCTGGCCGGGCGGGGATCCGCCCGAGGGAGGGGGTGGCGGCGGCGGCGGCGGGCGGGCTGGGCTGGGCTCGGCTCTGCTAGGGTTTGGTGGCGGCCATGGATGCGGCGAGGGGAGGGAATGGCTCCGTCTACCCGCCGTTATATCGTGGGTGGAGATGTGTATTAACCACGCAGGTCCCTCATTTTCTATCTATTCGCACACTCCTTGCTGATCGGCGCCACTCAGGGGTAACTGTGGAATTAAGTGTGCTTGTGGGGGTTGAGCGTAAAACTGTCGGCTTATTTAGCGGCAAAATAGAAGGGGGCAAAGAGAAAACCCTAGCGCGCCGCCACCCCCGCCGCCGCCGCAGCAGAGCCATCCCCCCCTCCTCCGCGATGGAAGAAGCGTGGCCGGCCCTCGCCCCGGCGGCGGGCGGCGCGGCCTTCCCGCCCGCGCCACCTACCGGCACGGCGCCCCCGGCCCCCGTGGCGTGGGGCGCGGCCGCGGCGGCGCGGCGGGAGGCGGTGGCCAGGGAGTCGCCGGCGCAGGCGGTGAGCCGGATCGTGTCCAGCTGCGCCAACACGAGCGGCCTGGCCGTGGCCGTCGTCGACGCCAACGCCGTCATCTCGGGCGGCGCCGCGCTGGCCTCCACCGCGGGGCGCCTCGTCACCGTGCCCGAGGTGCTCGAGGAGGTGCGCGACGCCGCCGCGCGCCGGAGGCTCGCGCTCCTCCCCACCCCCGTCGAGACCGTCGAGCCCGCGCCCGAGTTCGTCAAGAAAGGTCGAATGCTTACTTTAGCCGGCCACAGAGACTAATAATACTGTTACCAATTTTATTTTTATTTTATCTTGCTCTACAGCTCGTGGAATGAACTTCATTTGCACATAGATTTGTTTACCAGGTTATAGCAAGTCCATGTTGCAGGAGGCAGGGGGTGCTGATTTTTGCATAACTGGCTTAGTTTTTATCCTCATCATCATGACCTGTCCATGCCATTTCTAGCAGAGATTGGACCTGGAGTACTGTTCCTTCAGTTTGTTGTTGGTCGGGATCAGGCATGCTTATGGAACAGGGCGGTGGATATCAAGCCGTCCGTGGATGTTTTCGGCAAACAGTTGGCATTACTGGCTGCTTGATTACACGTAGTTATCATTGTTTGTTTTTCCCACTGCAACACATTGACATTTGGTGGTCTTGTAGCCTACAAGTTACTTCTGTAGCAAAAAATCACATGTTGATAGGCGAGACATAACCTGTATATCATTATTGCTTGCAGTTGTCAAGTTTGCCAGGGAAACAGGGGATCTCCAGACACTTTCAGATGTTGATATGAAGATTATCGCTCTAGCTTACATGTTGGAGGCTGAGGTCCACGGGACCAGCCATCTGCGGGAGCACCCACCTCCTCTGCATGTGGTCAGCGTCCGGACCTTGCAAGAGGCTCCGCTGCCAGGCTGGGGCTCCAATGTGCCTAACCTAGCAGAGTGGGAAGCATTGGATAAGATGTCTGAGGCAGGCGGGGATCTTAATTCTCGGATACTCCCACTGAAGGATCTTGAGAACCAAGAAATCCCTACAAGTGAGACCAACAGTGTTTCTGAGGCACAAGGGGATGCAGAATTCCAGCCTTCAAAGAGAGATGCATGTATTCCTTGGGAAGATGATGAGAACAATGAAGGTTGGTTGCCTGCTGTTGGCCGCACCACGCACAGGAAATATTTGCGGAGGAAAGCGAGGCGTGATGCACTCAAGGCATCTGGACAAAGTTTTGATACAAGTTCTGTTGCTCCATCAGTCGATGAAGATAATGACTTGTCTGAAAATGGTTTGGATTCAGTGGATGGCCCTTCTGCTGTTCCAGAGGAAACAAGGTCAAATACTGACAACTTGGAATCTCTGGAAGGGAATGAACCAAAAATTGCTGGAGATCAACTATCTAATGGGGAGAATGGGGTAGGCAATGCTGATACTGTAGAGGGCATAATTGGTACTGATTCATGCACTGAACAATTGGATAATTTGGATATAAAAAGTGAGGCCGAGGAAGGTGTCAGTGCATCTTTTGTCGATGATGAGAGCAGTGAGCAGAGTTGGGCCCTGAGGTCCTTATCTGAATCTACTGTAGCGTGTGTTACTAGTGACTATGCCATGCAAAACGTTATCCTCCAGATAGGTCTTCGTCTCTTGGCACCAGGTGGCATGCAAATACGTCAGTTGCATAGGTATGTGAATTTGACATTTTCGGACCGCTTTTACTTCTCTACAGCCATTTAAATTCGTACCCTATTTATAGAAGCTTGCTCACTCTTATCTGTCTCTCATGTGTTGGTGCTGATTGGCCAGGTGGGTTCTGAGGTGTCATGCTTGCTACAAGGTGACACAAGAGATTGGAAAAATATTCTGTCCAAAGTGTGGCAATGGTGGCACCTTGCGAAAGGTTTCAGTAACAGTTGGTGAGAATGGGATTACTATGGCTTCACGACGCCCGCGTGTTACTCTCCGAGGCACAAAAGTGAGTGGTCAACTTCACTTGATGCTCTCTCTTTTTCTATTCCCTAGACCTTTTGTTCTGTCACTTGTATGATTAAGTGTGTGAACTCTGGTTAATTGTTCTCTCTTCCCTGTATGTTCCACTGTTCTCAAAGAAATTACTAAAAATTACACATGAGATAAGTTTATCACAAAAACATATGCATATTTCCTTCCATGACGTTCACTGGATAATTGTGCTCTTTGGAATCCATGGTGATGAATACCCAGAACTCTGCTAGGAGCTTTTCAACAGTTCCATATGCATGCCTTGATATTTTTTAGAGATATCCGATCTCCCTTCGGTGTAGCAGACTGTAAATATCTTGCAGTGTGATGGTTTTCCAATGTGTGCCTTTGTGTTCGTTTCATGTCCTTGTCTGGATACTTTGGTTAAAACTTTTCCATGCGCCTAACCTTTGCTTGTTTGATTCATGTAGTGACGTCGATGATGTTGTTTCTAATTGCCTATTTGCTTTGCAGTTTTCCCTCCCGATGCCCCAAGGTGGAAGAGATGCTGTCATTAAGAATCCCATTTTACGCGAAGACCAACTTCCCCAGAAGGTTCTGCATCCTAAATCAAAGAAGTCAAGCAAGCTGGTCAGTGCCCCTGCTATTTTTTACACCTTTGTGTTCACCAGGATACATAGTTTTGAGATGTTAATTTCATAAACTCCTATTAAGTTAGTTTTATACTACTATATCATGGCGTCTCTATTACCTCTTCTACTGTCGCAAATTATTTCAGTTAGTTCTTCTTAGAGGAACAACTCCTGTAACCATTGCTGCTTGCTACAGGGGGATGATTTCTTGGGCGCTGAGGACATATTTACGCACAGCGGCGAGAAGAAAGTGGAGCTGAAACCTCCAGTAAGGAAGGCGCTCGCAATGTTCAGCGGGAAGCGGAATCCGAACGACAACCACTTTTCTCGCAAGAAGAATTAAGTTCCTTTTTGCCCTTCTGTTCCCCTTGTCATCCATGGCTTTGTAGTTTCGCATTATATGTAACGAGAAAACCAGAGTGCTATCTTACCTCTCCTTTGGCGAGAATTTAAGTATGTAAGGTCTCTCAGTTTTGCAACATCTATGTAATGATTACTTTAGAATGGACATGGACAACTATGTAAGGTTGGTGTTTTATTACTGCTTTCTCTCATCAACTCCACTGAGATAATCCAAATTCTTTGGATGCAAGATCTCTTGGAGCAGCAATGAATTTGTTTCCTGTTTGTTGCAAGCGACGTTTTGCCAAACCTTTACTGATGAATGAAGGATGCAGTTTGTGAAACATTTTATCTGGAAACGAACCGTAAATGGCCTATATGATTGAAATGAAATTTGAACGCTTTTTGGAGTAGGAATTCTTGTAGGTGGCTGTTTGATTTGTAGGGACGCTGTAAATAAGACAGTTTGTCAGTTGATTTCTTCATTCTAAGAAAAGTTTCAACTGACCTAACGTTCTTCTAAAGATTTTTTTTTCTATGCTTTTCGGAAACACTAGCATGATTTTGATCTCAAAATTAAGATAGCATGACACATTTCTCCCTCGTACGAATTGAGAATTCTGCTAATCAAAGAGACAAGTGTGGTTCAATATCACATCGCCTCAAAAAAAAAAATCACAACTTGTTACATGACTACTCCCCAATTAAATATTTGCTGAAGTTACAAAATCTAATCCAATTAAGCTCACATTTGCACTTTTACACGATACAAATAGATACGCCTTTTTATTGCGAAAAATACAACAATGAAAGAATTATGTCCAGCCTATTTCCTCTAATGAATATGATAATCAAATTAATCAAGCGGTGTACCACCTCTTTCCATTTTTCATACACAACATGAACACACACAACATTGTTTTTGTATCACACACATGGTCACGGCATCAGAATTTAACTCTGAATTTTCAGAAGAGCAAATCGTCGTTCGTCGTGGTGAACCCGCCGTAGATGTCCCCCATGTTGAGCAGGTCGAAGTAGCCGCCTCCGGCGACCATTCCGGCGGCGCCCGCGGCGGTGACCGCGCTCTGGTGGTGGTGGTGTTCCTGCTGCTGCTGGTGGTGCTGGTGCGGGTGCTGCAGCGCGGCGTAGCTGCTGCCGCTCATCTGGTCGCCGACGAACGCGCCGTGCGACGGCGTCACGTTGCCGGAGCTGGCCGTGGAGGCCGGCCAGTGCGCGGACATGGAGTAGCTCTCCGGCCCCGGCGCCGCCGCCGCCGCAGTGGCCGGCATCCAGTCGGCGAAGGCGTAGTTCTTGGCCTGCTGATGCTGATGCTGATGCTGCTGGTCGACGAACGGCTCGGCGGCCGAGATGGCGCCGCTGCTGCCGATGTTGGCGTCGTGGTCGTGTGTCGACGTCGCCGTGCTGCCGCCCTCGCCGCCGCCGGTCATGATGAGCTCCGTGGTGGCGCTCATGGAGGTGAGCAGCTCCGGCGAGGCGTTCTTGCTGGCCGGGTTGGAGCTGGAGTTGGAGCCGAGCTGCATCACCCGCTTCTTGAGGTACGAGTTCCAGTAGTTCTTCACCTCGTTGTCCGTCCTCCCCGGCAGATGCATCGCGATCTGCGACCACCTGACAAAACATAAAAGGAAATCTCAGATCATCATCCATCATCACCACCATGAACAACGAAAGAGCATTTCTCGCCGCGAAACGCGCCGTTTTCGAAGGGGTTTCGACTTCAAAATTCAGCTGGTTTTTGTCTGTGCCGTCAGCATTTTGATTTTTGGTTTGCATTGTTCTCATGTTTTTGGGATGTTCATTAGGTGGTGAGAGATGGGGTGTGTGTGTGTGTGTGAGGATCGCTTACTTGTTGCCCAACTTTGCTTGGAGGTTGATGACGACGTCCTCCTCCTCCTGGGAGAACATCCCGCGCTTCAATCCGGGCCGCAGGTAGTTGATCCAACGCAGCCGGCAGCTCTTGCCGTTCCTCTGCAGACCTTTGAGGCACCAAACAAAACACAGAGTTCAGGCATAATTCAGGTAAAAAGAAGTTTTTCAGAGATAGCAATTAGCTCAAATTCCCACATCACATTTGTGCTACCATTTTGGCTGATATGGAAACCATGTTCAAGCTTGGATCATGTCAAGGTCAAACAGAATTCTAAGCAATTAGTTCTTTAGGTGCATTGTTGCTGATAGCAGAGTATAATGATCTTTTTGAAATTGTGTCAAGACTAGAACTAGATCATGGATGTAAGGTTCCAAGTAGAACTCCAAGCTAAATGCAAACAAAACCATTAGAAACGATGCAAGCTCATCAAATTATTGCTAATGCTACTAGACTAGCAGTAGACTATATAATTCAGTCAGGCATAAGCTGTTTTGCAAGCATTGGCATGCAGCAATCTCCATGCATGAAAGGGGAAAGAAGCAGTTTTCATGAGAGAGAGAGAGCTCACCAGCCTTTGCAGGGACAGCGCTCCAGCAGCCGAGCCCATGCTTGAGGATGTAGTCCCTCAGCCTCTGGTCCTCCTCAGGAGACCACAGCCCCTTCCTGTAGTTCATCTTGGGCTTGTCGCAGGACCGGCACCCCATCGCCCGCCTTTGCCCCTCTTCCTCCTCTGATATACCCCTTAAACTCCCTGCCCCTGCTCTTGTGCCTCCTATGACAAGAAGGTGAGCTGTTGCAGCAGCAGAGGTGGTGGTGGCAGCACTAGGCCTTTCTTCCCCCGGGCTCCATGTGCACCCTGTGATTTAAAGGGCTGCTGCATTTCGCTCCCCGGTTTAGTTTAGTCCTGTGGAATTGAGTTGGTAATGGCTGCACATGGCTCGGATCATGAGCCTGGTGCCTGGAGGCCTGGTCAGAGGATGTCTACCTCCTTCCTCAGAGATTCTCGCGGGTTGTTCACTCGGTTTCGGCCTCGGGCTAATGATTGTGTGGATGGATGGATGGATGGAAGGATGCTCGCTGGCACTAGGAACACATTTTGTTCTCGAGTCAGTAACTGGGATGTTTCTCTAATCGGCGTGTTTTTTATTTATATGATTGGTCACTTGGATCATCATCAGTTTGTTTATTTTCTTCCGAGTTTTACTGAGCTTAAAATTCAGAGAGTACTCTTAGATGAAGACGAAGGCGAGCGCTAACAATCCAAGGATGCACCGTGATTTCGGATGAACTGGTGGGGTAACATTAACAGCATAATGTTTGATCGATTTGTGTAGTAAGAAAACACTGTTATCCAATAATCGGCGCGATGAAGGTCAGACTTTGTGCACCAATGATACGGGTGGAGCATTGACATGAGCTGTTCTTGCAATGAAACAGGATCTTGGATTAATCAGCAATGACAAGGCCTCTTCCAAATGTCAATCATTACCAAGGCCAGGGATGGAGAGGCAGCAGGGACACAAGAAGAGACACAACAGTTGGGATCCAGAAGGATTTTGCACTGCAAGTATCAAGAAGAGGATGAAAATGCATGCATAAACAAGGACCTTTCTGACACAGGTTAGCCATGATGAGGAACTTGGATGCCAACCATATGTAACTTTTTTCCTTTCACATTCACCGAGTTTTGGAACAAACCGAGCTGGCACAATGGCGCCACTGGTAGTTAATATTCGTCGAGGCGAAGCGAATCGACCTGCCTGTTTCGTGTGCTCGTTTGCGAAGAGTACAAGTGTTCGCCAGCTGTCTGTCGGTGAATGGTGCTCCATATGGCATATGGTCAGTAGGACTGAGATTATATGCTAAGCTGCAGAGGAGCTACCTGCTTCGGTTTGGCAGCTCACACCACCATGCATGCCTCGAGGCTTTGTCCTTTGTGCACACCAGTTGTTTTCAGGAAATCTTAGTGTGTGTTTGGGTGTGGGTGTGACTCTAACCCCCCCTTTTTCTTTATCTGTGCTCAAGCTCCTCACCTAGGAAAAACAAAGACCTTGTATATAGTGACAGATGAACAGAAAGACAAGTTTTGGCTCATGCACAACAACCTAAAGTCTTCACTCATGTTTGGGAGTTGTCAATGTCCTTCTGCCTCTTAGCATTCTCTGCATGAATCCACAAAGGTTTCTGTTCTGCGGAACATACAGCCATTCGGTTTGCCGTCTGCGCGTGTCGATAACTGCTTTGCTTTGGGACTCGCGCAAGGTCTTCGGATTCGGAATTTTTTCACAGCGTCTTGCTGCCACTAGCATTGTCTGCATGAGTCCACAAGGTTTCTGTTTTGCAGAACATACATCGGTTTGGTTCTTTCTTCTTGAAACGAGAACCGAAAAGAAAGAGCATGATCTAGCATGCATGTAGCAGCATATTATTTACCAAGATACACATATCGACAAAGTTTCTGATCTGTAAATTTCCTTGACTAGGGGGGTGATTATTGATTAATCATATGCCATGAGGTCCTATCTTTCTCTTCGCCGCATTTTAGTACGCGGCGATGGCCTACAAAGCAGGGCGGCTCCATGTGAGCTCAAGGGCGCCCTAATCTCCTCGGCACCAAACAAGGGGATTTGCTGAGGCTGATGGTGATGAGAACAAAAAGAAGAACGGAAAGAATCAAAGCCTAGAGATTTATCTCTCTTTGAAATTAGCCGACACCTATAAAACTAGAAGAAACCCTAATTGACTTGGGCACAGTTGCATGTGGACAAACACCTAATCTCCATACAAATTCAGCATCTTGCACAATACATTATGCGCCACCGCTTAAACTAATGAGCATTTCTTCTCAGAGGGGAGGATGAGAGGAATCTTCTGTCCCCAGTGAGAACTGAGAACAGCTCCCTGACTTGCAAGAGGAGGACTTTCCTGCCCTTATCACATCTTCTACATTAATAGGATGGTTTTTAAAAGTATTTAGATTTGAAAATGTTTTCGGCAAATGATTAGAGAATGGGGATGTGCAAAATATGCTGCTGATTAAACAAGTGAGCCAAGAACATGCAGCAGGAAGGGGGAGGGGGCCTCTGATTTGTTGATGTACTGGCAATGATGGGATGCAAGTCAATGCTTTGCTCCAGAGATTAATCCACAGATCAGACAGGCAGGGTGGCCCAATTGTATACACAAGCACAGCTCACCCATCATGCATGGGCTAATTAATTACTTAAATCCACTGCAAGTTGTGTCAGTATATCTTTGCAGGATTAAGTAGGAGAAGAGGGGAGCTGGAAAAATATATATGTGCCAGCCTGCTAAGCATGCACATTAAACAAATTCAAGGAGTTCCTGAGGATTTAGAGATGATGTTGATTTCTTTGGTAATTACTACTACTAACAAGTACACTTTGTCTCCGCGCCATATAGAAAATTAAGGTTGTGCCATGTTTAAGCATGTATGTGACACTGCACACACACTGGCAAAGAATAAGATTATCCAATTGGTGGAGGTACATTATCATGAGTTCATGACAGTTAATGCCATGTAATGAGATTAGTGGCTTAAGTGGAGGAGAAGAGGGGATCCATGAGCACACTGCTACCACTTAACCCAACCTAGATCATATAAATCTAGTTTACTTAAAAGATTTATGAGTCTAAATGAGAGATAAGCTATTTGTTTAGATTATAATGGTTTTTGCGTCATCCTTGACGTATCTCGTTAAGGTCCATGCTTACCAATGAATAATGGTCACTACATCACAACACATACATAAATGGGCTAACAAACGGAGCCCACTAAGATCTAATCATGATTATTAATGGTTGGCAGAGTGGATCAGTAATAAGCAAGTTGATTAGGCACATGTAAACAAAACCCTTT